GCAAGAATATCAGCCACCACATTGGCCTCACAAAAAATGTGGAAGCATGACAATCCATGATTAGAAAGTCATTATCTACAATTTGTTGCAATCCGATATAACTTCCAAGGAAGTCGACAACATTTGAGAAAAATATCAACAAGTAAAATTGAGTCACTTTCAATCTGAAGAGGGAAACAGTTTAGTTGAACGGCTAGAACCAAACCCTCTTCATGAGCACATAAATCTCTGTAGTTATTGGAAGCGGTTCCAAAAGGCTTTGAAAACAATGCAATAAAAGCATCATCATAGTCTCTAATAACACCACCCCCACTTGCTCAACCTGAGTTATGTAAGGAGGTCCCATCGATATTTAGCTTGAAATGATTAGGGCTAAGAAATGATCATGCCAACGGGATAGCCAACTGATCCCTTTGTTGATTCTAATTGAACTGGAGATTTTCAATGATCACTTTTTTTGAGATATGAAATGCCCTGGATTTACCCTCAGCTAACTCCTGAATATGAGAAATGATTTGTCGAAGCATTTGTTCCCTCTTGATTAATCTTGATTGAAAAACTCTTGAAGTGCGCTCCACCTATAAGAACCCAATAGTCGCAAAGAACAAAAAAGTCCAAATATTGGAAAAACCTTTGGATCTGAATTTAAAAGATAACTAACTTCTCAACATACAAGGAATAGAAAAATAAAATGTTTACGACAATGCCATGCAATAGATCTCCATACAGTCTACTAGCAATCACCAAGGAACTGTAGATGACAAGGACTATCATCCTTGTTTTTAAAAACATACATATATGAGGAGTCATGGCTATTCCGTATTGTTGTAGGAGATAGATAGTGGGTAACCGATCATGAAGTGCCAACCAAGAGAACCGTTTTGCTTGGGGATGACATTTTGATGACCACAAGGTTTTGAATATTGGTTGTGAGGTGCCCTTATTTCAAATAAACTCTCAAGCCTCATTAGTCGAGAATAACCCACTCGCAGAATGAATCCATACTAGAATATCCCTATGTGGTTGTAATGGGATAATAAATCTGTCAACCTCATGCCATATCTGAATCAGAAAACCTGATGTAGGCAAAGGTAAGACCCAGGACTGAGAAACACCTCCAATATAATCAGATACCTTTGGCATAGCAACCTCAAGGTCTTGATACCATAAGAGTCCTATATAGACCTTTATGATAACCATGGGTTGCTCAAAAATCCACAAGCCAACCATCTTTAATAACCGATTTAACATTATCCTTTTAATGAGATAAATCTATGTCGAATACCCTTCTAAGCATAAGATGAATAACTTTTGTATTTAATCACCCATATGGAAGAATTTCTGAAATAGCGATGCTTAAATAATCGAGCAAATAAAGATGACGGATCAACCAAAATTCTCCAAGCCAATTTCATCATCCCTACAATATTGAAATATGTTATGTCAGGGACTCCAAGTACCCCTTCGGGCTGAGGTAAACAGAAATTGATGCGTTAAAAGGGCTTTATCCTTCCTAAGGGCAGAAAGTCCTTCTTCATAAGCTGAACCTGCAGAGGATGAGTTGAGGAAGGCAAAAGGAAAAGTTTGTGGTATGGAAAGGGATCCTCTAGCGGTTGACTTGTCTATAATGGTCGTTGTCTTGAAGGTGGAGTCGTCGGTCGAGTCATTCCTCACTCAAGCATATGTGAATGCAAGGCTGACCATTGTGTTTGACAAGCTAGCTGGAGGTAAATTTTCTTATGTTGATATGCCTGAGTCCGAGCTTCCACCCCCGTCAATCATGATTGACATAACCAAATTTTCAGGTATTAGAAGCCCTTCTTCATCTTTGTAAAGAATATGTCGGTCCAGCTTTTCGTTTCTCATTCTCTATGTTATTGTAGGTCCAGTCTTTTCTCAGACCACCGATGGGGCTCTTATTAACATTCGAACTACACAAGCTTCAACAGATGCTGAAGTGTCACAGGAAACTCAAAAAGATAATGTTGCTACAACCGTGATAAGTAATGGGGCTTTTTCTCTTGCGTCTCATCTTAAGGGTACCCCATCTGGAAAGACCCAAGCCAAAATTCTTGATGCGCCAAGTACAGCTGAAATTCCTGAAGTGCGGGAGAATGATCCTATGGGGGATATGATTGCAACTGCTGAGGATCTTGAAGGCCTCATAGAGTCAGTGCTGAAAGATCCCTCTTTGATTAGTGCGCTTCAAAGGAAGAAGAGTGTCGATATGGTGAGGAAGATATTCAGGGACAATGGCAACAACTCTTTGCCCGGTCTTCAGGACACCTTAACAACAATCTCTCCAATGATATCATGGGCTGGGGAAATGGTAGCAAAAGAAGACAAGCTCTGGAGACTGATCGATCGGGTCATTCAGGATATCAAATACATAGTTTCCTACCAAGAAGGACTTGCTTATACATTTCCTCTTATGATAAGTGAAGGAGAGGAAGCTATCATCAAGCTTTAAAAGGCAAGCGTGAAAAGCAGAGCGAGATTTGAGGGTCGTTTAGGACTCGGTGGAGGATCTTTGCGATCAATATGATCTGGCTGAGGCTCACAAGGTCGTGATTCTGAATTTTATGGAAAAGACCGAAACTCTCTTTGCTGCGCAGAAAAGGGAGTTCAAGAGGATAATGGCCCATTCATTCCATTTGTGCGAGCAAGTGAACATCGCCTTTCCCAAGCTAGAGGTCCAGCTACACCAGGTAGATGCGGTGACATTGGCAGCCTTTGCAACTCACAAGAGTCTCGCTTGGATGAAGGCTAAGATGGAGGAGAATGGAAAGCAGGTAGAAGAGAAGACCCAAAGGTTGGAGAAGCTTATGTGTCGCTTCAAGGCTCTTTGATTTATTTCTTGTCCTCTTTTTTTCTTAAGAACGTTATCTTCCCTTTCTTCTGAACTTTATGGACTTTTGGATTCCATAAAAGAAGTTGTGTCTTTTATGAGGCTTATTTTCTTTCCTTTTAACTTCTAATCTTTGTAATCATATCTGATATTTCAAGATTTCAAAAGAACTTTTGCAGCATCATGTTAATTAGTATGCCTCCTCAAACGCTTCAAACATAGGCCTTGAAAAAGCGTCCCTAAGCTTCCCGTATTTTTGTGGAGAAATATGGGTAGCCTGGCACTTGCAGCCCTCAAACTTTTAAAAAGGAACATCGTCATTTAAAGTCATTCGGGATGAATTTTTGTGAAAATCCTTCCTAACCCTTTGTAAAAAAGGGTATGTGTGGCTAATACTTAAGTGTCTTAGGACTCGAAGGAAGTATCGTAGTTTAAATTCATACATTGTGGACCTATTAATAGGCCTTTTAAGGTCATGCATCATGGGCCGATAAATAGTTTAAAGTCATATCTCGTGGACCATGTGTAGAGTCATGTGCTAAGAGTTATAAAGATAGTAGTTTAGGGTCATACAATTGGATCGTAAATTGAATCAATTTATAGTCGTGAGATATGGACTTTGTGGCGGATGTCCTATAACATCAAAGCCTGGTCTCGGTAGGTCAAAAGATACTCATTATGTGCTAGATAGTTTAAAGTCTTGTAGCTCGGACAACACAATAGGTAGTTTAAAGTCCTGCATCACATATTATGATGGTCTTTAAGGATAGTCTTTCTTCAGATACCTCCCATTGATTGGAGGCATGACGTTGTCTTCAATCTCAGTGCAGAGAAGGTATGCCCCGACAGAGTATGCCTTTTTGACGATATAAGGTCCATCCCATTTGGACTGAAATTTGGATTGAGGTGCCCCAATAGGGCCTCTTATGGCCAAAGCCAAATCACCTGGTTTGAATGACCATAGCTTCACATTCTTGTCAAACGCTCAGCTTATCCTTATTTAGACTTCTAGATTTTGCTGAGCTACAAGCTGCTTTCATTAAGGGCGTTTAACTCGTTGTGTCGGAGTTTAACTCGTTCTTCATTGGTTAGCCCATAGTGGACCGCTGCCCTTAAATTGGGTATTTGAACCTCTAAAGGTAAGACCGCTTCTGCCCCATAGACTAACGAATATGGGGATACTGAGGTGGTGTTCTTCCTCGTTCTCCGAGATGCCCAAAGAGCCTCGGGGAGTCTTTCATGCTAATTGCGCTGACTCTTCTTCACTGCCTTTTATCAGTACCTTGCAAAGGCTTTTGTTGAAGGCCTCAGCTTGTCCATTTGCCCTTGGGTTGTACATGGACGAATACTTACAATCGATGTGAAATTGACTAGTCAGTTGACGAATGTGATCGTTCTTAAATGGTGACACATTGTCTGATATAACTCTATCCGGTACCCCGAATCGATAGACAACGTGGTGGTGGACGAAGTCAGCCGATGTCTTGCCAGCTACTCTTCGAAGAGGGATGACCCACTTAGAGAAATAGTCGGTAGATGTCAGTATATATAGATGGCCATTTGCTGAGGCTAGGAAAATGGGTCCCACAATATCCATTCTCCATTGAGAGAAAGGCCAAGTCATAAGAGTCGGATGCAATGGCTCCACCGATTGGTGAATATAGTCTACATGAACCTGACATGTGTGGCACCTCTTTGTATATTTAAATGTATCTCTTGCCATAGAGGGCCAGTAATATCCCATCTGGTGTAACTGGTGATACAATTTGGGCCAGGACTGGTGTATGCCGCAAACCCCATCATGTACCTCCTTTAACGTTGTTTGTCATTCATCATGCGAGAGGCATCATAACAACATCACGTCATATGACCTCCTATATAGTTGGTCATTGAGAAGAGTGAACCTCATGGCTGGCCTTTTAATGGCTAGCCTATCCTTCCTAGTTTTAGGGAGTTGGTCATGAGCTAAGTACTCCAAGAAGGGCTGGCGCCAATCTGGTTTGGGTGCTCGCACCATTACGACGATATCGTCGAGGATAGGTTCTTCTATTAATTTCCTCATAGCTCCCTAAGGATATAGAGGAAATTTCATCCTTAGATTCTCTTCATCTTCGAGATTTGCTCCTTCCATCATAGAGATGGATCACCATTCTTATATAGGAACATGGAGAAAAATCCTAGGCTCAATGGTCATGATGGCCCCAACCTTAGCTAATGCATAGGCTTGAACATTTGATCCTCGGTGAATATAGGTCAAAGTTTTGAGTTCATCTTTGCAGACTTTGTATATTTCCTTCAAATGGTAGACAATCAGATGGAAATCATTGAAAATGTTGAGAAGCCCCGAGTCCAGCTGTAGTGCCATGTCTAGACCAATAATCAAAACTTGACACTCGGCCTCATTGTTTGAATACTTCTCATTTAACGAGAAGACATATGGAAAAAGTCCCTTATCCTGTGTGACGAATATCATGCCTGCTTCTGTACCTTCTGGATGGGAAGCACCATCAAAGAACATCTGCCATGGGTCAAGTTCATTTGTGCACATGACTTCCTCATCGAGTAGACCTTCGTTCAAAGGGGACCCTTCAAGCAGGGGATGAGCAGCAAAGAAACCAACCAAAGCTTGTCCTTTGATAGCCTTCTACGAGACATAAATGATGTCGAACTCCATAAGGAGTAGCACTTACTTAGCTAGTCGTCCCGAGAGGACCGGCCTTGTCAAAAGGTCTTTGATCAAGTTGGCCCGAGATATTAGTTGTATTGGGTGTACTAATAGCTAGTGCCACAGTTTTTAGGCTACGAATACTAGCGCCAAGCACATCTTTTCAATGGGAGAGTAGTTATCATTAGCTGGCATCATGGTGTGGCTGAAATAGTATAACGCTACTTTCTTCCCTTTATTGTTGTGCTGAGCTAGGAAGGCACCCAATGATCCTTCCAAGGTCGTCACATACAAAATGAGCAGCTTGTCGTGTATAGGAGCCAGGAGAATCGATGAGTTTAGTAGGGAGTCCTGATGTTTTGGAAAGCATTTTGGCAAGACTCGCCCCATTCAACGGGGACGTCCTTCTTCATAGGCTGAGAAAAAGGCTTGAAATGCCTTGAGAGGTTGGATATGAACTTTTATATGTACGCCAAATGGCCTTGAAGAGATTTCAACTCTCAAAAGTTCCTTGGTGGAGTCATCTCTTGGATGACACGTATCTTTCTAGGGTCTATTTCAATCCATCCGCATCTCACAACGAAACTTAGGAACTTTCCTAATTTTACCCTAAAGGCATAGTTCAAAGGGTTCATCTTCAGCAGATGCCTTCTCAATTTCTTAAACATGGTCTCCAGATCCGTAAGGTGAGTAGATCGATCCCTTGACTTGAAAACAAGGTCGTCGACAAAACATTCCACGACCTCGTGAAAAATGTCCTCGAATATGATTGTCATGGCGCCCTGATAAGTGACACCAACATTCTTCAGTCCAAGGGGCTTCACATTGTAACAATATGTCTTTTTCGTGGTTCTAAAGGTAGTCAGCTCTTCATCTTTAAGAGCCATCTTGATTTGATTGTAGCTGGAATACCCATCCATAAATGGAAAAGCTTCCAAGCTACAGTCCAATCAATCATGATTTCAGTAGGTGGTAGGGGAAAATCATCATTGGGGCAAGCCGAATTGAGGTTACGGAAGTCAATGCACACCATTATCTGCCTGTTCTTTTTTTTTAACTGGCGCAATGTTGGCAGGCCATTTGGGGTATATCACTTCCCTAATAAATCCAGCTTTCACTAATTTACTGACTTCATCCTCAATCTGAGGTACTATGTTCAGATGGAACTTCCTTTGGGGCTGCTTCACCGGCTTGATGTGAAGATCGACAACAAGCTTGTGAGTTGCCATTTTGGGGTCCAACCTGAGCATCTCATGGTAATTCCACGCAAATATGTCTCTGTTCAAGTGGAAGAAATAGATGTATTGCTCTCTCTCCCCTGGGTCCGGAGACAAACTCATAAATGTGGGCCCGTGATCTCCTTCTTCACCGAATTCGATTTCTACCTGACCTCCATCTTCCAAATATTGGCTCCATCTCATCTTCACCATCCTAATATTGGCTGCCGTGTCTACTCACAGACGCCCTAGCACATTAGACCGTCCATTTCCTCTTATCGACATTCTTTGATCCAGTCTCAAGAGTCAAGGTGTACCTGAGTCCTTGAGTGTTGAACTTCTTCCGGGATCCACTCTCAACTGCCTGAAAGGGTTCTATCATCCCCTTCCCACCATTCAAACCTTGATTGATAGATTGGTCATAGTTCATGTTTTTCAAGATTTGGTGAGCCTGAGGATTGTACAATGACCATTTGGGTTTCGAGGTCTTTCAGGGGATGAGCCTTATACTCTTCCTGCCGCCCCTACTTGAATTTTTCCTTAGGGAGGGAGCTGATCACGCTGTCTCAAACATGGTACAACATCTCTTGATCAACTTTCACCAAGAGTGAGTGGTCTGGCTCCTTCTTCACCGTCTAGGCCATCGAAAGATTTAATCAAAGCTTTCCCAATCTCATGATCCACATCAGAGCCACTTTCGCTTTTAACGAAGTGAGGATCAAGGTTCTTGAGGTTGTAGAATTTGCCATATGCATAGTGGGACTCCACTTTGGTGAATGGTTTCTAGTCTACAGAGACCGTATGTTGCTTCCTTTCATGAAAATATTGGAAGCATTAATGCAGGGTCAATGAGATAATGTTGTTGTCATGCAAACATGGCACCCAAACGATACATTGTAGGAAGCCTCGGTTTCAATGACCTAAAATGCCGTGTAGTCCACAAATTCACCAATCCTGAGCTTCAATCTGATGCTCCCTATTGCCTGCTGGGTAGCCTAGTTGAAACCCCTATATCACCATATGTCCTTCTTGCATATTCTAGACATCCATCCCAACGGACTTCAACGTTCTCAGAGGAAGCAAATTCACGGTTGATCCTCCATCGATCATTATCCGATTGATTCGAACTCAGTGTAGCATCCCATCGAACATCAAAGGACGGTTGTGAGGTTTCGTCCCCAACTACAGATTTGTGTCAGAGAAGGTAACTGGCATAACACTAGGCAGAACTACTTGGTCAAGTTCAACCTAGTCGACTTCGATCTGAAATTCTTAGGGAAATGAAAGGGATTGAATCAAATCGGCCTAGAGTTCTTTTGAAAGCATGAGGGAATCATAGACACTTATAGCAGCACAAATTCTCCTTAAGTGATAAGCCACATTGTAGTCATCAGTCTTTCCATCCACCAGCCGTTTTGACTACCAACAACGTTGGACATTTCGGCTCCCACTGGTCGGGCCTGATTTTTCTTCTCGCGTAAGGAGAGAAAAATCCTCTCTCAAACAATCGATGAGGGTCCACACGCGTTGCATGTTTATGAGTGTGTGCATTTGTGCTCTCCTATGCGCTTTTACGGACTACAATCCAACAAAGGGAGATTTTACAGATTCTCCTCAATTACGTAGCCCTTCGGCTGTCTGTCAGCGCGGTTTGGACACAGACTCTCCTCAAGTTTTTTTTTAACACGTCGCTTGGTTCTCTCGCGCTGGAAACTACAACGTGGATTCGATTGTACTCCTCTATAGCGACTCACTCGAACGGGGGCTAGCTAACAAAAAGAAGGGATAATAGAGAAAGGTGACGAGAATCCCCCTATCCGTGCAAACGCTATGTGCTCAGGCAATCAGAGTAACCGAAGGATTAGAACTCTCTTGACTATCGTCTCAGAAAGACTCCTCCCATGTGACTGAGGGAGAGAACGTATGCATCTCTCACAACTCAACTCGATGGTATGGAGGGGAAGTTAGAGAGATGGTCTGAGGGTTGGAACCCTTGAGCTGACTCTGAAAGGTTTTTAATCGAGCGTATGTCGAATAGTTGGATGCTATGTGATGCCGTAGGTTTGCTATATTTGCGCGAGAGATAGAAGGGGGAAAGAGACGAGACTGCGTGTCTTTCTACGGGCACGAGTTACTGTGCGGTGCGAGCAATGAGTGAAGAGAGAGAAGAAAGAAAGAAGAGAAAGAGAGAGAAAACAAAACCATACAACTAGGGTGGACTAAGGGTAGCTTCTCTCTTGGGAAATTTTTCTCTCTCTTCGGCGTTGGATCCAAGGGTTAGGATAAAAACGACAAGTGAAAACGAGCTTAATGCCTCTATTGCGTTAATGAATTATCTGACCATTTTACAATTGACATAAGCTTGTTTATATAAAGGACCCACCGAATAGGTGTGGATTCTCAAAACTATTAATAACAACTAAAAGAAATTTCAATAAAATCCCGAATTTAGGAATAATGACCAAAATGCCCCTTAAACCTGTTGTGCTAAAGTCAAAACCATCCCTCTCCAAGGGGCCTTTCACCATTGCCAAATTTTGGAAGCTTTTTTGGATGCTTGTAACAATGATTGTGACGATGGATCATCATAGTCTTAATGCTTGTTTGATTTTAAAGCGTTTGATGGCTTTTAATCGTCTTGAGGTGGACTCTTTTCTGAGAGGTAAAATTTGGCTAGATCATTAACTTTTGACCGTCAATGTAACACGATTCATGGTGTTTCGAGTATTTATTCTGATTGCAAATTAAAGAGGCGACTTTCACAGTTGTTTTGCACCAAATTTTATCTGTTTTGGTTCTTGCTTGAAGTACTTTCTGATTTCGAGAGATCGCAGAAAAAAGGGATTCCGATGATACAGCGATCTTGCTTTCTTAATCCTTGGAATTTGCAATTTATCTAACCTTAGATTGAGTGTAACTGTTATACCAGCTTGTAGCCATTCGTGATACAGTCTCATCGGACCTGTTTTTACGATGATCTGATGTACAGATCTCGAGTTTGTTGCTTCACGAAGTTCAAGACATATTTTCTTCAAAATCTTTGATTTTCATGGTTTTGGGCTGATCTTCTCTCTAGAAAATATTTGACTCTGGGTCATGTAATGGCGCATGCCATATGTCAAAATGACCGAGTCGTCTACCTTGTGTCCAAATTTGAGCTTGCTCCGACTCCAATCAAGCAACGTGTGGGTGTTTTAAAGGTTTTCCCCAGATGTGAAGATCATGACCTCCATGATTAGGGACTGGTTCAATGAGGCCACACCTCAATAGTATATGACTTACCCGTTCAAGGTAATTTGGGCCCAGAATGTTCTTGGGAGGTTCAATTGAGCCAAAAATTTGGTCTGTATGGGTTTTTCGACGTTCTGGATGAAACAGTGGTGGTCTGGTACTATTTTGAAGCCCCTAGCATATGTCTGTAGTTGTAAGGTCTCTCTGTGGCATGATGGTACTTTTTCCAAGGCTGCCTAATGTTAGGCTTATTCTGTAGTGCTCCCTTGGTCTGGCGATGTCTTGGATACTAGTAGGACTAGGTCGTCACTTGCTCTCTCCTTATTTGTATCAGGGATGTAGGTACATCAAAAATGATGTACAACACACACCTCTGCCGCATGCATCACTTTCTTAAGGGCACGATTTTGGGAGGTTTGATCGTTGAAATTTTCCTACCTGATCTCAATTCCAATTCCATGGTTTAGGGCGTAGATTTAGCTTCGATAGCCCAAGTCACATTAGCGATTGTTTCAGGAGGGGCTTCATTTGCTCCTCTTGGCTCATGAAGGTCATTCATCATTAGCGGTCTAAGCATGAAATCATTTAAGGTAGGATATGGTGGTAGAGTTGACTAAGAACCTCCATTTCCTCCTTTCTTCGTTTTCCTACCCCAACGTGTAACACTTTGAGGCACAATAGGAGCTTTTGTGTCTATCTTTACTTGCAATAGTGTTATCTCTAATGCTTTTAAGCCAGCTTTTTTTAGTGCTTCAGCTTGCATCCACTTCTTTTTGATGTGACTGACAAAAGTGATTCAGTTGTGTGCTCTGAAACCTCCTCGGTGTCAACAGAGTACTCTGAGCATAGCTCGAAGAGTTCTAGGTAAGGACCTTCAACCTTTCCAATAGAGTCGCCAGGTGGATCAGGTGTTTAAGAGGGGCAACATCAATAGCTATAGTCCCCAGATTTATTTGTTCTTGTATCAAATCCTTCATGGGCCAACTATCTTCTAGGCCATGGGTATGGGAAATATGGTATCGGCAGTAAGGAACTCCATTGAGAGAAGGTCTCCTCCCTGAAGCTATCATTTCTTTTCAACAAAGTGATGACCTCCATGATAAGGAGATGGTCATATATGTCTGGTAACATGGTTTTATCGAAGTTTTAGGACTCTTGATGCAAGGAGCCTTTAGTTGCTCATGAAGGTTTGCTCTCATTAATCATAAAGGAAACCATATTGGCTGCCACAGTTTCGGCAACTGGTATTTCTTGCGCATCTTGTTTGAGCTTTCCTTCCTTGATGAGATTCTAGATGCTATCCTTTAAGGGATAGCAATCTTTTACTACATGTCCTACCATTCGTTGGTAAACACAATTATTGGGTCGGTCTGTTTGACCAACTTGATAAGGGTAACTTGGCGAGGGAAGCGTGACAGTTCCGACCGCTAAAAGATTTT